TGGAGTAGAGGGGCAGAATCACCTCCCTCAACCTGCTGGCTACGCTCCTCTTGATGCAGCACGTTACAAGGCATGCATCCTGGAGGCTCGGGCACCCCCAGTTCTAGGACCGGCCACACGGTGGGGCGGCTGTCCCAGGGCTCGCTCCGGAGAGCAGCCGTCTCCCGGCGGTGGCGGTGCCCAGCAGATGGCTCTTTCCAACCGCGTAAGGCTTGTGCAAGCTCTCGCTTCACTCCCTGGATCCCAAGGTCAGAGCTTCAAAAGCTTTTGTTCCTCCTATGAATAATGCCAGTGGCATACTGGCAGATCAGGAAAAAGTAATACGAGGCAGAAAGCATTGCTTTCCAAAGTGTAATAGCTTTAGCTGGGATGTAACACACTTTTGTTTAATGAATGTTTGTCACAGCACTACACACATAAACAGTTACATTTATTGGACTAGAATCACATCTCAGTTCTGCTTGAGTAAATCTGAAATAGCTCAGCTGTAGCCAATGGAGATACTACAGATGGGAATGACAGGGGAATTTGGCCCATTGTTAAAATATCTTCATGTAGAAACAATGTAGCAAAATTGAACTGTGACCAGGTTCCTTCATCATGGGCTAAATTGACTCAAAATTGAACCCACTTAATTCGGTGAAGTTACACAGGTGTGAAGGAGAGAGTGCACAGAAGCCAGCCTTGTTTGAACTATGTGGTCCAAAAGGAACCATTCTTCACCTTATTAATAAATGCAAGTTTATTTGTAACAAACAATTTATTCATACATGTACTTAAATTAGAGATGGGCTTAGACCTCTAAGAGACCCACTTCAAAGCTCCCTGACTTACTGAGAAGTTCAGACTGAATCAGATTTTTGTGGTTCAACCATCATCTCTTAAATAGACTTAAACTGGAATTACAAACCTGAATTAACCAAGACATGGAACACTTAGTTCTATAACATGTCCTGAAAGCAAACCCATTTTATAATCTTTCTGAATCTCAGTTTACATCCCATTACAGAACTGTACTTGACAACTCTGACTGAAAGTCACTGAATTTATTGGTGCAAAACCTTAAGAATATGGAGATTTTTTTACCTGAATTAGAAAAACATTCCAAGATGCACAGATTTATTCTCACTCATTAAACTTTAAGCCTACAAGACTTGATCTTGACATGATTTCACAACAGTCCTCCTTTAAATTTGCTGCCATTTCTGCTGATAGTTCAGGTTAGCATTCGGAAGGATGAGCAAAACATGAAAGATAAAGTATCCTAAAAATGTGTTTCAAAAAATTTCTTACAGCATATATGTTGGGTCAATGGGAAGGAATACCATTCCCTAGCTGTTTCCCCTCTCCTCTGTTAAATTTGTGCTTTTTCCTCTCTGACATCCAACCTAATCACAGCTGAGGTACTCCTCACCCTCTATCTCTACTAAACCTGTCCTGCTTCTGAAAGTTGCACTACTTTCCAGGATATACCAGCTGGCACTAAGGGGGAAATATGAAAGCACTCAGTGACACTGAAACTGAGTTGATATGTTATACTCATATATATATGTATTCAACTGGCTATTGAAAACTAAACTGACGGGTTTTTTTCCTCTTATTAACCATTTCACACTTTCCTTCGAAATGTACGAGGCTTATGAATTTTAAGAGCTATGCTGTAAGTGAGAGATACTTGCACTTTACCCCTTCTGGGCTGATGTTCTCACCTGCCTCAATAAAACTGTGGAGCTGGTGTCTCCTGGGGGTTCCTCTGAACCTTGCTGTGATGCCTTCCGTGGGCTCCACGTCAGGTCCAGGCAAAATGTGCTTAACAGTGCTGCCTGCAAAATATACTGTGCTCTGGAAACAGTGGTCCAGCATAACTCATGTGATATTCTGAAGTGATTCTGCTGTGGTTTATCCAGATATTTAGCTTTCTCTGATCCATGGTCTTGCTTGTAATTGATACTTGCTAAGGACATTAATGCTGTCATGAGAAGAACTAAGCTGATGATGGTGAGCTTGGGTCTTTCTTCCCTCTTTGATAACAAACATAGTTCCGGCAACCTTCCATTTCCAGAAAGCTGAGTAACAAAAGTTGATACCCTTCTCAGAAAGCCTGGCAAGGAAACGGAATTGGTGGAGCCGTCAGAAATGGGGAGACTAAAGTGAGGTTCACAGGTTGTTATTTAGGCACATGAACAAGTGGCCTGAAGTAGAAAAAACCAAATAAACAAACAAATAAATAAATAAAAGCCTTTTCTGCTGCATGGTTGAAACTTTGGTCCTAATCACTCAGTAGCTGCAAAGTACATGCCAAGGTTTGAGGCGACAGAATTGCTCGGATCATTTCCTACCTGCTTTGCAGAACAGCAATTAGCAGCACAGTGACATTAACAAGAGAGCTTTACATGAGCTTTCAAAGTAAAAACTTAAAGAATCCCTAACAGACCAGCTACTTGTAAAATGTGAGAGGGAGGCTCTAGGCCTGGTTTTTCAGAGGTGGGTGCAAAGCTTTGCCTGCAGGCAGCATGACTGCCCGAGCTATCCACCACCTTCTGCAATGCCCGCACTGCACTGACTCCCCCAGGGAGGGGAAACCTCCTGTGTTCCACACTCGACCTTTGTGTTGCCTTTCTTGCACGGGGATGGATGCTGCACGTCTCCGGGTGCCCTCTCATCCACATCTGCCGTAAACACCCGGAACACCTGTTTACTCTGACTCACCCACTCCTCATGCAGACTCTCCCTTTTTTTGACAGCAGACCTCACTCAGGTAGTATGTGCTGCTAATATCCTTTCAGGACCGTGTAATAACATGCCTTCTATCCAATTCCTAACATCCTTCAATCAGCTCAGCCAGTGGGCTAACTGCTTACGCTCCTGTGATTTATATAAGCGCAATTAATTTAAACTGCATCACTCCGCTGTTATGCTGGCGAAAATGCCCTGAGAGGGAGTACCTCACTGGTGAATCAGACCCTTTACTTTTAACAAACATACAAAAGAACAGATCCCGAGCCAGTGAAAATCTGCATGGCTCCATTCATTTCAACACACAAACTTAAACCAGCTCAAGGTCTGAATCACAGCTCATGTAACAGACTATTTAGATACAGACTAATGCCTTACATCCTGAAATGCAATGCTTTCCCAGAGTTGGCATGGGACAGGGACTTCTCAGATAGAACAGAGCTGAGCGGGGCGCAGGACCACAAATGCAACCTCTTGCAAAAGGATTTCTTAATTTCTGTGAGGTTGAGGAAAGCAATGGTTTGTGTCTCTGCAAGCACTGCTTTCTCTTCTGGGAAGAGTTATGTCTGCTGCTCCACTCCAGCTGCAAAGCAGGTACCTGGGAAGTCCCTTTCCTTGCCACTTTTCTCCTGCAGCCTGGGTGTGTTCCTGCAGTTTGGAAATCCATGTGACACCTTTCGCTGACAGACACCAGAGGTAGATACTGAACAGCTGAATCTTTTTAATCAGTTCTTGAAAATGGCTAACTTTCCCTGCACTTGTTTTGGCATCCCCGAGATTAAGAATTCACGCCACTCAACAAAGCACTTTACACTTACGTGTCTTAACACAACCAGAGGGAGTCTTTTTTTTCCAGCACCTGCTGCAAAAATAGGGCTGGGGTGGTCTCTGTAAAACAGCCCTCCACGCCTCCTCCCGACAGGACAGAGCCCTAGCAGCACACCGGCACGGCATACCGGTATGTGCCCAGGCAGGTGTAGTTAACACACAAGGAGGAGAGGGAAGGGGTGCGGAGACAAGACCAAGAGTCAATCAGAGTGTAATTTGTGTTAGAAATTCACCGGTGTTCATCTATCCATGTTTTCCAAATGCAAATATTTTAAAATAAAAGAAATATATTAAAAAAATAAACAAACAAAAACCCCCAAACTATCTGTAACTGTCTCCTCTAAATCAATCTAGATAACCAGAAAATTCTGTGGCATATTTAAGACACTTTCATCCTAAATGAAATACATAATACAGATTACACCTTCATAGGAAATCAAGAGGTCCTAAATGTACTAATGGAGAGGGACATTTAAGAGACATTTAAATTACACAGTCTATAATTTGGGAGGGTTGCTTATCTGTGCATCTTTTAACTGCTTTGGGTAATTAGGAAAATTTGCTTGGCAGTGCTCTAAGAGGATAGGCAAAAGAGTGACATAATTACTCCCAAGGAAGGAAAGGTCAAGGTTTTGCATTCTGCAGATTTTTAAAGTAAAAAAGAAAGAGCTCTTCATATGAACAGTCTGAAGCAGTATGTATATTATATAAAAACTATCACCCTGCCCTGAAAAGTAATCTTTTCCAGGGCTTCTCCCTCTTTTTAACTCACTTGCAGTATCTTGCTGGCCCTTCTGCCTGGAAGGGCGCAGGCTAGCGAGGCAGGCTGCTCGTCTCCAGCCTTTCCTAAGCGCAATTATTCAAAGGCAGTTCCCAAGCAGAGCAGGCATACAGTCAGTTCAAAGGCTTTCATTAGCTCTGCCGGCTAACTTGTTATCTTGTAATGTCCCCCCCTTCTGCCCTTAATGAACAGTTTGTTCCATTGTAATTCTTATACATCTGGAAACCAGATTCGCTTTAAAGAAGAGAGAAAATAAAAGTTTCAGAGCCTGTGATTTAGCCAGATCTCTTGTCAGCTGAATCAGTAAACTGACCTTTTTACAGAGCACTCTGACCAACACATTTTTCTAGACCGAAATTCTACTGAGCACACCATACACCCACTTTGCAGCAAAGATAATGCGCTCTGACCACAGCTCCTCCGTTCACAGCTGTCTCCAGCGGGAGGAGCTGAAACCTGAACCAAACCTTCCGAGCAGGGATTGGATCCCTCCCGCCAGCAGCCAGAGAGCCCTCCCAGAAAAACAGCCTGTTTGGAAAAGTGCTTGAGAACATCCCGAAGTGATTGGAGGAGAGGAAAACCCTTCCCCCCTGCACCTGACTAGTGGGTATTTACAGCACTTTTCAAGGCGCCTCTGCACTGCCACTACACACAGCCGGAGTGGATGGACTGCGCGGGGCAGGCAATGCGATAGGGACCGATGCGCTCGCAGTGATAGTGTGTGTGTGCTGCACACCCGCCGGGACCGCTACGCCGACCCACGAGGAGACCCTGGGAGAAGGAGAAGCCCTGCATCCAAAATGCCACGCTCCTTCCTGGTCAAGAAACATTTCAATTCATCCAAGAAGCCCAATTACAGCGAGCTGGACACTCATACAGGTAACAAAATGAAATCTAACGCCACCGCGTTGCTTCTGAGATTGCGGTCATTGCGTGGCAGTAATGAGGATGGGTGGGATTGCTTCTCAGGCTTGAGGGAATGGGTTAGTTCATTGCTAGCTCTTTTTTTCTTTCGCTTACAAGGAAGGAGTTTTAAGAAATATGTCAATGCTGCCCATAGTGAATCATAAAAGTTTGCTCATCCACTTGAACTCAAGTTACTTAGAGAGGATTTGGAGTTTTCCTGGGCTGTATCTGCTGGTGGTGGAATCAAAACTTTCATATAAATCCTTCAGGAAGTTTCACTGCTTCATTGTATCAGGCTGCATAGATTCAGAAACAGCATGCTGCCTTGAAGATACACTCCAACTGTAATTTGTCTGTTTAAGGCTACTACTGTCTCTACCCATAAGAATATATGTATGAAATAATATTTCCTTAATCATCCTTATATTAGAAGACCATACTGAGTGTTCAATTTATGCACCTTTTAATCCCCAGAATGTTAATTTTGCTGCCTCTTGAAATACTTTTTGTTTCTCTTACCTTAAAATTTTCTTTTTTCTTCAGTGATTATATCCCCCTACCTGTATGAAAGCTATCCAGTCCCTATCATACCACAGCCAGAGATCCTGAGCTCAGTAGCTTACAATCCCATTACTGTGTGGACTACAACCGGGCTGCTACCGTCTCCATTACCCAACGACCTCTCTCCTCTTTCTGGATACCCCTCGTCTTTGGGAAGAGTCAGCCCACCTCCACCTTCTGACACCTCCTCCAAAGATCACACCGGTTCAGAAAGTCCCATTAGTGATGAAGAAGAGAGAATCCAGTCCAAGCTTTCAGACCCCCATGCAATCGAAGCTGAAAAGTTTCAGTGCAGTTTATGCAACAAGACCTATTCAACTTTCTCTGGCTTGGCCAAACATAAGCAGCTGCACTGTGATGCCCAGTCTAGGAAATCATTCAGCTGCAAGTACTGTGACAAGGAGTATGTCAGCCTGGGAGCACTTAAGATGCACATCAGGACCCACACGCTACCTTGTGTCTGCAAGATCTGCGGCAAAGCTTTCTCTAGACCCTGGCTACTTCAAGGACACATTAGAACTCACACTGGTAAGAACAAACATTACAATTGCTGTTTCTTGTTTCTATAATATCAGGATGCCTTTTTGTTATTTTTCTCCATAGGTGAAAAAAGCAGCAGTGGTTGTTTACTAACCTTGAAAAGCATCCTCACAATTTCAAATGTGTCATTAAAAGACTGAGTTCTCCCACTTGGTGGGGGGGACGTGGGGGGTGGGAGGAGCGTGTATCATGGTCTCATAACTGTGGGCCAAATACTGGCATAAGTCAGCATTGCTCCCTTGATAGTTTTAGGATGGTTTAGCCCATTTCCGCTAGCTGAACATTTTGCTTTAAGGATTTTATGTTAACTTTCAGGCTTTGGAAATTGCTAGCTTTAAGAAGGCTCCAGCTGACTCTGAAATCAAGCAGCAAAACCAGAAAGGCAATGAATGAGGGGCTGCTTTCTAGCTGCTTAAGTAGCTGGCAAGTTTTGCATGCGCTGTGTCAAGTCCTTTAGGATTAGAAACACATCGTCACCGAAGTTGGGGTTTTTTTCTCTGTGGAGGCAAAAACTTGATTTTTGAGTACAATGCTGGGTGCAATGTAATGTCTGTACAGCTGTTTGCTGCTCTTCAGTCAAAGCCCTTGTCCCCAGTACCTCACACATCTCTAAGCAGAAAGAGTTCTGTGAAAATATGTGAAACTTTTGGAGGAGCCCAGCCTAAAATCACTGCAAGCACCTGTGGATGCAGGAGGTGTCAGCAGCTTCTCCTCGGAGACTTCACTTAACATATTCTGAAAAGACTGAGTTCTGCAAGTACAGTCAACAGTGCTGAAAGCTGTCATATCTGCGACCCAATTAACCTTTTATTACACATTCTTTATTATAATAAATCCTTTTTGCTTGTTCATTTGTTTCTTTGGATAACAGTAGGCTTTACCTGTCCTAAACATGTATTTATTTTTATCTTTAAAGCTTTATTCTATTTTCCCTTGATGTTTCCTTTTTAGGAGAGAAGCCGTTTTCCTGTCCTCACTGCAACAGGGCTTTTGCAGACAGATCCAATCTGAGGGCTCATCTGCAGACCCACTCTGATGTGAAGAAATACCAGTGCAAAAATTGCTCCAAAACTTTCTCCAGAATGTCTCTTCTGCACAAACATGAGGAATCTGGCTGCTGTGTAGCACACTGAGTCATGCAGTCAATGTTTACCTGGACTCAATGCATTTCTCCACTCCTGTTCCAAATGATAAGTGGAAATCCAAAGGCGTTTTCTTGTCTCCTTTTCAGCCAAAAAAAAAAAAAACCAAACCACCACCAAACAATCAAAAAAAAAAAAAAAGTGGAAGAACTTAGAATGTCAGTAGAAATGAGCTTTAAGTAGTTTCTGTTCATTAACATTCACATTCTTAAGTGTGAATTTTGAAATATGGGGGAAGACACCATGCATGACATTTCAAGTAGACCTAAAGGAAGAAGTGTTAGCAGCTTTCTTCATAGATGAAGCCAAATGTAGGTCGTCTTTTCTTGCCTAGAAAAGGCTACAAAGTTAAGAATACATTCCTGCCAAGCCATTTCAACCAAAGAAACAGTATTTTAAGTGGAACTTTTAATAAAAAATACTACCCAAGTGAATCTTGCTAGACACCATTTATCTCAGGTGCCTTAAAAAGTATTCCAAGTTTACCTTAGTAAATGTTTAATATTATTCATTGCTGTGTTTCATTTTATTTTATTAGAAGCCAAGGCCTTCATTAATGATCTGAAAAGCTTTAAAACTGCATAATTAAGAGAAAAAAAAAAACTTGTAAGAGAATGTATGAAAAATTGAAAGCCACAAATTAACCGCATGTGCCTTTTTTTAATAGAAAAGAAAGACTGTAGCTTCAAACATTCCTGGTGCATGCTTGACCATCTGTAACATGGAATAGTTCCTCTAAACTTTAATCTTTTTTAAAAAAACGGGAATAAGTGCAAGAGAGGGGTTCACGGGAGTTTGACAATTATTTTTTTTTTTTAAATGCACAAAGGAAATGCAATATTTTCAGCATTACCCCTCCAAGTGCCTTTTTTTATTGATGATTTTGTAAAGTATGTGGACATAATGTAAATATTTTTATTTTTATATGATTGAATGTGTCATGAATGAAAGCGAATTGTTGCCTATAGCAGAATCTATAGATAACTTGAAGAAAGCGTGAATTGAAATTTATGTTGTTTTCTAGCCACTTTTTTACAATAAACATTTTTAAGTAAGTTTTCTGTTGTTTATTCTAATTAAAGAATACAGCTGTGTCTGGTTTATCAAGCCTTTGGAATGTAGAAAAATGTGAATGTCTCTACAAAACCAAAGGAAGATAAAAGTGAATTTCAAATGCCAATCCTTAGTTTATAAGAACTGGACATTAGAAAGGCATATACCCATTGCATTTTAAACCATTTAAAAACATACAGAGAATTTGTCTAGAGTCACTGCTTTAAAACACCCTTGCTTTTTTTCTTCTTACAACAGTATGACAACATTCTTAAATATATTTTTTCAAAAACATTTTAAAGAAGCTTCTTTCTTGAATTTTAACAGTTGAGAGGATGCTACTAGAGTAACCTTTCATAATACTTTTCCCGAGACTCTGACATTAGGAAATCTGGGCCTGCTCCAAAGATCATTAAAGTCAGAAGAGCCCTGTAGGTGTTCAGTAACGTTTGCATGATATTCTTTTAAAGTAGTAGTCAAGTCACAGAACTATATACTTTATATGGCCATTTCAGGAAGGATGAAAGATGCTTCTATTAAAGTACCTTACATATCAGAACTGCGAAGTGAATGTATTAAGACTTTGTATCAGCTAACATATCACAGAAAAGAATTATTCAGTAATAAAAAGTAGAAATATTTTTCTTCAGATGATTTGACTAAGGACTCCAAGATCTGAACGATATAAAAGCATTACAACGTCAATAAATCATATCTCATCATTACTGACTAGTTCAAAACACTATTTTCAACTTTCAACAAAGTGCAAAGCTAGAAAACAGACAAGCACTGGTTGGCATCCAGTCTTAAGACTACATTAGTGCCTACGTTAGGGTACCAGCAGGAGCAAGTAATAATAAAAACAAGATTTCAACAATTTATCAAGAATGCTACTGACGGATAAATAAAAGTTGTACATTTCTTGAAAAAGAGTACATTTCAGCAAAATAATGCAACAGACCATGCATGCCTTTTGACTCCTCCAGCTGAGTCCTGAAGAGGAGTGCTGTGGCAGGACTGCACTGGAGTAATGCAGGCAATAGGCACATGATGGAAGTTTTGTACCTATTCTCCACAGGAAGCATGATACTGAAAAAAGATCAGCTCAAATGAAGCTTTTCATATTCTCCAAGCATCCTCTGACAATATCTCATGGTTATAACAATATTCCCTAGGGCCTGCTAGATTTTTTTTTCTTCAGGAAATAGCTAGAGTTCAAGAAAGATAGGGTTAGTGGGAATTTGTGAGGTAACATTTTGAAATGAACATATGAAGGCATCAAATAACCTTAAAAATTTTCATGTGGTTACTCTATTGATTTGCACTTCCATGTCATTCTCTTTGAAGTTCTTAGGCTCCAGCGGCTCTTTGTGCAGCTTTCTCTTCCCAGAGCAAAGTTTACTGGAGTATGAGGAAAGCTCTGGCAGTCAACAACAGCTATTTGTACTGTCAAAGTTCTAGGTTTGCTCTCCTGTGTCATGTCACAAAGGCTTTTCCATTGTTTTAATTCACACTTTAAATTCTCTACACCCATAGTAAATGAAATAGCATAAGAACCTGACTTCTCAAATGAGTGGAAATGCTACTGTTGTCCTTAAGGGAAATCAGATGAAAACTTCATCAAAATACAGTATGCTAAACCAAACACAAGTGGAACTGGTCTCATTTAGAGATGACAATTAAGATATGCTACTTTGCATGCCTGTAACACCTGTACTCATAAAATACAAAGATGGGAAAGGCTAGAAGCTCTTCTGGCTCATCTCTTTAATTGAAACAGAGTGCTCTATCACAGATCCTTAGCTCTCTGTCCAGTTGCAGCACAAAGTTCCCAGGGAACTGAATTTCTCTGCTTTTTCTGTGAGACTGCTATTTGCTATCAGGACTTTTCTCAAAAACATGCCCTTCTATACCTGTGCAAGCTATTTATCAATGTAAATTGAATTCTGCTACGAGCTGTTGGTCAATGACTGCTTTGATTTTATTGAAACAGAAAGGAAAACTCCCTTCATGGCTAATATACCCATTGAATCTCTTTGGCCATTGCTACATTTCTCACAAGACACCTCTCATTCTGTATTCAAATTCTCAAATTTTAAAATCTTCTTTAGGAAGATCTTCACACTCTGAATATTTTAATTGTTTTTTTTTTTTATCTGAAATCAGTCACTTTTATTTTTTTATATTTAATTTTTGATACCAGTGCTAAATGTAATTAAGTGAAAAGTTAAGCTATCAAAAGATCAGTCTCTCCTCTAAAGGCACCTGAATGATAGCAGCCTATTACTGCATGATTCATAGTTTTTTTAACTCTTCACTAACAAGTTGTTTAAAATCAGTAGATCTGGGGGAGGGACTTTTACCCGGAGGTTACTCCAAATCTCTAAGTACATACTTGTTTGGTTATATGATTGCCCATTATAGGGAATGAGGGCTAGATTATTCTTTTAAGATGTTCTGGCAATTTACTTTCACTTCCCAAGCATACTTTCAGTGTGCAAAGAAGGGCTATACCAGCACGGCCAATGTGTAGTTACAAGTCAAATGCATTAGTTTCTCAAGGCTGAAGGCAATAATTGATTCACTTTGATTTTCTCTTTTCTCTTCCCTTGCTTCCTTCTGAGCATGCTTTACACCTCAGAGGCTGCAGAATGGAGTAAGATGTGCATGAAATGAAGACAGAACAAAGCACACATTTATGCTTACAGCACTACAATTATCCTATCATCTGATGTGTAGTTCAGAAAAGCCACTTAGATGCTCTCCGAAGGGTTAAAATAAGTGCCTCTCAGATTTAGGCACAATAAAAACTGTCTTCTGTATTTTACACTATGATTTGGATTATTATAGTTCCTGCTATCATTAAGCAAGCTCAGGGCTTATTAGTCTAAGCTCCATAAAATCAAGCAAAAAAAAGAAGCATCATAAAGATCCTGTAATGTCAATTAAAAAAAGGAAGGACAATGGGAAACCTGGTTGTCCTGGTTTTGGCTGGGATAGAGTTAATTCTCTTCTTAGTAGCTGTTACAGGGCTGTGTTGTGGATTTACTATGAGACTAGTGCCGATAACAAACTAATGTGTTGTTGCTAATTAGTGCTTACCTTAAATCAAGGACTTTTCAGCCTCTCGTGGCTGCCATAGAGCAGGTGCATAGGAAGCTGGTAGGTAGCAGAGACAGGACACCTAACCTGAACTTGCCAAAGGGATATTCCATACCATGAAGCATCATGGACCAGTATTCTCATGTCCACCTTGTACTCGTGACGCCAGAACTGGACCTGGCTCTGCAGATGGGCTTTGCCACTGCTGAGTAGAAGTCAAAATACCACTCAATTTCTTATAGGATTCTCATAAGATGCATTACGATTCTGGAAACTGTATGAGCCATAACAGTAAAGTACAGACGAAAATGATGCTTGCATGCTCTGTCCCTTCTTCCTCCAAAATTTAATTAATTCCAAATCTATATAAAGTCATCAGAAACCTTGAAGGGTATGTAGTATGGGACTTTTCTTTCCTGGGAGAGAAAGAGCTCCCCTGTCCTGTTGCAGAGTGCAGAATTAGGGTGTCTCAGGTGAGAGGTGACATGGGTTTCTTAAAGGGGTGCACATCTTGCTTCAGAGTCATATCCTTTTTGACATACCGTATAAAACATGGCTTAGCAAATTCTTTGAGGCTGTGATGCAGCCTAATTGCATACTTTCATTGCTGTCTATCCTGAGGGACACATAGGTAAGAGGCTAGAGATAAAAAAAAAAAAATGTATTCACAGTGGTGGTGTTTTTACTTCTTTGGCAGTTTGGTCACTTTGTTCATTTTCAGTTACCTTGCCATCCAGACAAATACTTCTTTGAGTTTTTAGTTCTGGTTCACTCACCCTTTGGGATACAAAAACATAAGCAAGTGCTCCTTCATGACCCTCGTTCTTTAGTTTTCCTCACATCTCTCTAAGACAAAAGTTACTGCAAAATGCAACATCCGCTTTCTGTTACATGTTTCTCCTCTCTCCCTTTTACCTGGGAATAATTAATATGCCCATCTCTTGTCTTTTTATCTCTCTGCCTTATATGCACCACCAGAAATTTGTCCAGTGCGTACACAAAGTAGCTGTGAGGTGGACAAAGGTCACAGTTTGGCAGCCCTTGCCAAGAGGGAATAAATGACCTTTTATATCTGTCCTTTATGCAAACATATTTTTACATCATTTTGTCAAAACAAGACATAGAAAACAGCAATCACATGAATGCCAGCTAAAATTCACATGGCCTCCAACATTTTTAGTACCCTTCACCCTCTAAGCTTGGAAGAGCAACTCAGGTACATGAAGACATTCAGAGTCTCTTCACACAGGTAGGCATACAGCAGAACAGCCTGCACATTCAAACATGCAAATCCTTTCACTGCAACCCCAGTGGGAATCCGCTTCAGAAAAACCCAGAGATATCCCTCATTTTGTTGCTAGAGCCATCCCTCAATTAAAAAAGGTGGTTTTAAATGCAAATACCAGGGTGCGTTCTAGCAGGACAAAGTCAAAGGAGGGTGTTCTTCAAGCTGTTTGCCCATCAGCATCAGCAGGACTGAGAATACTACACATT